CATGTTCTCACTTATTGGAGGGAGCTAAAAATAAATAAATCAATTCACACACATACATACATACACACACACACACACACACAAAACAAAAACAAAAACAAAAAACAAAAAAACAAAAAACGGGGGGGGGAGAGGAAGATATAACAACCACAATTTTTTTGAAGTTCTTACAACAAGCAAATGCAAAGGACATGCTTGGGTGGGAGGGGGGCGAGGGAGGAGGGAGGGAGGTTTCGGTGATGGGACATAATAATCAACTACATTGTATATTGACAAAATAAAAATTAAAAAAAAAAAAAAAGAAAGTAGAGAGGTAACCAGGGCTTTGTAGTTCCTGTTACAAATTCTGAATTCCAAATGCAATGAAGCCACCAAAGAGGAAAGTCATGAAAACACAGATGCCATCCTTGCCCTTGTGGGGCATACAGTCCAGTGAGGGAAATAGGCAATCAAACAATTAATTGCAGTTCATGTCCTAAGTGTTAGGATAGGGGACATACTGAGTGCTGTGAGAGCACTGAGGAGGGACATCTAGTCCAGTATGAGAAAAGTACATTCTCTCACTTGGACCATCGCAACAGCCTTCTAATTGGTTATGCAGCCTTCGGTGTCCTACTTCCAATCTATCTTCCACACTACTGTCTGTCATCTTTCCTTAACACAAATGAGAGCATGTCAACTCAACACCACTCACGGCTTCCCAGAAGATAAATTCCAAGCTCCTCGATCTCATGTCACTGTCTTATCTTCTTGATTTAAACTCCTACTACTACCTATCAAGATGATTTTCAAACTTTTAAAAGCTCAACCCATAGTAAGAAATACATTTTACCGGTACAAACACATGTAGCCACACAAAACATAAAAGCAAAAGTTTCAAGAAACAATTCAAGTAGGATTACTCTGATACTTTCTACTCTATTTTATGCTATTTTTTTCTTTAAATGCTGATTGTGGTTTATTCATGACCTGCTCATGGGTCCCGGCCTACAGTTTGAAAATCATTAACTGCTGCCCCCACTAATACCATCTCTACTCAGCTCTCAGCATTTGCCCTAGTAGTGCTGGATGTCAGGAATGCCCCATCCTTCACTGATCCTTCACACAGCAAGTTCCTACTGACCTTTCAAGACTCAGCTCAAATGTTACTTCTTCAGAGAAACTTTTCAGTTTCTCTGAAACTGCCCCAGTCACCATGCTTCCATCCTTAGAAGTCTCAGGGCTTAGCACACCCTGAGTGACAGCATTTGTCATGTAGAATGTATTATGATTTTTTTTTTTTTTTTTTTTTGTCCTTTTTGAGACCGGCCGCACCGCGCTCAGCCAGTGAGCGCTGTGAGCGCACCGGTCATTCCCTATATAGGATCCGAACCCGGGGCGGGAGCGCTGCTGCGCTCCCAGCGCTGCACTCTCCCGAGTGCGCCACGGGCTCGGCCCGTATTATGACTTTTTAAAAACAGGTCTGCTCTGGACTAGCTTCTTGGATATCAGCAACCTATCTATTTTATCTCAGGTACAAAATAGGGTCTAATCTGAAGCAAAGGTCAGGGGGTGTTATGTTAAATACATGAAAACTGATCTTATCTTGTATTACCCTCCCTACACTCTCACTATCTTAGCTGTGCACCAGACCAACTAGCCTTCTTTCTGTTCCTCAAACACATTGATCTTTCCTCCCTCAGAGACTACCAGTGTCACTCTTCCCCCAGCCATTTCCCTGCAGGGACGCTCTTACTCTACCTTCAGATCAATAGTCTACTCTCAGAGAAGATGTCTGCCCAATATCTCATCACATTTCCTTTAATTGCCTTATGACATTTCCCACTCCCTGCAATTATCTTGTTTTCTGTTTGTCCGTTGGTCTGTATCCCGCATTAGAATGTTGGATCTTCGAAGGAACTATCTACCGAGTTGCCCCAGTAACTTCAGCACCTAGAATGGCGCACAACACATAGCAGGCTCTCAAAAAACATCTGGTAACGAATTAGGGGGAGAGGAGGCAGACGAGGCCACATGAGTCTTGAAACCGCCTTGAGAGGTCCCCGGCAGAGCCTTGGGTCATGGCTTAGGCAGCGCACACAAGTCCAGACTGGTGACTGGGAGAGAGGGAGCGAGATGAGGCGCCCACGTGACACGTTCCAGGGCCTACCAGTAATAAGTGACCGTGCAGGCCGCGCACACCCGCTCGGCAGGGGCTTCGCACACCTCACAGCAGAGCCGGCGCCCCTTGGGCACCGCCAGTGGATAGATCACGTTCATGTTGCAGGCAGCGATGTCGGTCTCAAGGACGGTTGCCAGGCAAACGTAGCCTGGATCCGACGTCACGTGACGATCGCGAGACAACCTTGTTCCGGATGTTTCAAGGGCAGCGGAGAAAGGCGTGGCTCGACTGACGACTGGAGTTCGTTCTGGAGGGGGAGGGGGAGGGGGAGGGAAAAAAAAGCACAGAACCTACAAGTCGCAAAGGTTAAATGCCCAGTTTTACTCCAATGAAATCCAGGTTCTGAAAGGTCTCTACGGTGGTCGGTAAGGGTCAAACATAGCCAGTTCTTTCCCGAGGCTAGAAATGAATGTGAAGGAATAGGACCCTTCCACATGTCCACCCAGCCGAGAATTCTCCCCAGCGCTGAGTCACTTTCGCTGTGCTCTGGGGCAGAGCAACCACGCATTTACAGACTTGGTGAGATCGGAACCTAGGGTCACATGCAGGGAGGTGGACCGCCCACTCACTACTGCGGCTGCGCGTCGACCAGGCACGGGGAAAGGGGCGTGGCGCCGGCGGCCGTGCGTAGGCTGCGGGGACGCTCCGGCAGTGACGGCAGAGATGGACCTGGTGGCCGAATTCCCCCCGCCTGCCGGTGCTGCGCGTTGGGCCGAGGTTATGGCTCGCTTCGCCGCCAGACTGGGCGCCCAGGGCCGGCGGGTAGTGTTGGTCACGTCTGGCGGCACTAAGGTACCGCTGGAAGCGCGGCCAGTGCGTTTCCTGGACAACTTCAGCAGCGGGCGGCGTGGTGCAAGCTCGGCCGAGGCGTTCCTAGCCGCGGGCTACGGCGTTTTGTTCTTGTACCGCGCTCGTTCCTCCTTCCCCTATGCCCACCGCTTCCCACCCCAGACCTGGCTGTCGGCTCTGAGGCCCTTAGACCCAGCCCGTGCGGGCTTGCTGAGCTTGGAGGCCGAGGAGAACGCACTCCCGGGCTTCGCTGCGGCTCTGCGGAGCTACCAGGAGGCAGCAGCTGCCGGCACTTTCCTGGCTGTAGAGTTCACCACTTTGGCGGACTATTTGCATCTGCTGCAGGCTGCGGCCCAGGCGCTCAATCCGCTAGGTGCGTGCCCTGGGAGTCTATCGGTTGTCTGGAGGCAGAGACTTTCTCTCAGCCACTTCTCTGCTTACCCATGGCTCTCACAGACGGGGAATCCAAGCTGAAAAGGAGCTGATCCCTCACGCTTCCCTGATTTGTTACACCTGTGCTTCTCTTTGCAGGCTCTTCTGCGATGTTTTACCTGGCTGCGGCCGTGTCAGATTTCTATGTTCCTGTATCTGAAATGCCTGAACACAAGATCCAGTCATCTGGGGGCCCACTGCAGGTGATGGGCGCTTCTCCTCCAGAGATCTGATCCCCTATAACCAATCTTGCGTTAATTTCCTCTTGATCTGGAGATGGCCTTTATGCATTCTGTATGATGTAGGCACTGGGGATATAGAGATGAATAAGACACCGCCCTCCCTCAAGGACTTCACAATCTAGTGAGGGAGCTGGACACAGACATAATTACAATACAGAGTGATAAATGCTCTAGTGGAGGTATGTACAAACTGCAGTCAGATCATGGGGCAAGTGAATCTTGGGGGAGTTGAGGAAGGCTTCCTGGAGGACATGACTTCAACTGTGTTTTAAAAGATGAGTGGAGGGTATACCAGAAAAAGTAGGGAAGGTCATTCCAGGTGTAGTACACACACAGTGTGCTGTGAATGGAAGTGCTTTGGTAAAGCAGGAGAGCAGACTAGAGAGACGGCTTGATTCGTAGAAGACTTTGTATTCCTTCTTAAGGAGCTTGTACTTTATTCTGTGGAGCTGGGGACACATTAGTAGGAGAATGAGATAAAGTTTTTGTTTGAGAAGAACATTCTAGCATCAGTGTGAAAGGTGAAGTGGGGAGAAGGAGAGAGTGGAGGGTTGGGGGTTATTGTTGTAGTTTAAGAAGGAGGCATGGGGAGGGTAGTGGTGTGGTTGAGATGTTGAGATGATCTGGTTTCTTAGAACCTGAGGGAGTTCTTAGTCGTTTATTGAGTGATGCAAGTAGAATTTAAATAGGAGGAACTTTACCTGTGGGGTACTTGCCGACTGTAGGATAGTTCATTGCTTCAACAAATATTTATTGAGTACCTACCATATGCCAGGCATTGTTATAAGTCCTGGAGATGAAGGCAGTGAGAAGAAACATACCCTGCCCTTGTGTTACTTACACTCTGTAGGAGAGACAGTAAATTAGTCAAAATACACAAGTTTGACAGTGATAAATGCTAAGCAGTAAAATAAAGTGAGGAACTGGTATATGATCTCTGTCACACTTGCTAACAGCTTTTTAAAGGGGAAATCCTGATGACTACCTTAAGGATTTCACAGTTTTTAAACTCTGGGATCTTTATACCATATTTTTAGTTCTATTTTGAAAATACATAAAATTCAACATTCACCTTAGGAGGGATTGGAAACTAGGTAATAAGAGTTTTGATCAAGTGAAAATAAAGAAAATCAGTTTCCTCAGTGTTTAGTTGTGTTACAAGTGACAATTTTTAAGTGGAATTCAATAGCCATACTACCAATGCAAGAAATATTTTAGGCTGAGAGGTTTAAAAACAACTTTATTTGGGCTTCTGCAGAAATAACATTTGCATGAACAGATTATTTGTATTTGTTTATTTGAGGGCTTGATTTAAAAAATAACTATTTTTTTTAAAAAAATTTGAGAAAATGTAATACTGTTCTTTAGAGTTCTATTAATTGTGATGAGAGTGGCAGCGCAGGGCTCATTCAGAAGACATGGTTTGCCCCAGAATATGTATGGAGCCTTGTATTTAGACATCATAATGAACCCTATGGAGCCAAGGCTTTCAAACTAAGCATTTAATATGCTTTCAAAAATTTTACAGTGAGAAATCCCACTTAAATTTACATAGGCAAAATCTGAGTCCTGATTCTGTAGTTTCCCTTGAGATCACCGTGGTCTGCTTATTAAGTGAGCACTTAATGAGTGACAACTTAAAACAAGTGACCATGTTTGCTTATTAAGCTTTTCTTTTTCCGATGCAGATAACAATGAAGATGGTGCCAAAAATGCTTTCTCCTTTGGTTAAAGATTGGGCTCCCAAGGCATTTGTAATTTCTTTTAAATTGGAGACCGACCCCTCCATTGTAATTAATCGTGCCCGGAACGCTTTGGAAGCTTATCGACACCAAGTGGTGGTGGCTAATATCCTTGAGTCACGACATTCCTTTGTGGTTATCGTAACTGAAGACTCAGAAACCAAGTTATTGCTATCAGAAGAAGAAGTAGAAAAAGGCATAGAGATAGAAGAGAAGATAGTAGATGATCTTCAGTCTCGACACACAGCTTTTATATGTGACAAAAACTGAAGCGAGAAGCCCTTATAGGATCAAAAATTGTTCAATGGACCAGGACTCTTATGGTGAGAACTAGAATAAATCCTTTGCTTTCATAAGGACAAAGAAAATGAAGGGAAGGGAAAAAGCAGTGGTGTGCAGGCAGATACGGTTTGGTATTTTAATTACTGAACCCTCTGACACACTCACCTGAATGTCATCTTGATTTTGCAGTTGAACACTAGAGCTGTTTCTTACCTTTAAAAAAAAGAGCTTATTGGGAATTATATATTCCTCAAAATATACATCAGCCTTCTTCATATTATAGAAAGAGGATTATGGATGCATGAGTGGTCATGCTTTGAAGATCAAATATTGTTGAGTACCTGCTATGTGCCAGGCCCTGTGCCGAGCTGTGAGGATTAAAAAGATGAATGAACATGTCTTGTTTGGGAAGTGGATGTATAAAAAATTAAGTGCAATAAAGTGTGTTCCCAAAGCTGACATAATGGAAAGGATTTTTTTTTTTTTTTTATCAAGGATAGAGTAGGAAAGAAGGACACCTCCCTAAAGACAGATTGCCTATAGAATGGTGAGCTTCCCACAACATTTACCTTTTGTTTCTTGTCCTAGATTCACTCCATATGTTAATAACAATTTACCTCTCAAATATTTTAGAACTGCTCTTCATTTAAACTTAACATGGCTACTTGGGACTAGGCAGAGGCCAATTGGTGACCTCTGTCTGTCCTGAGGGAGGCATTACAGCGTTGGCTTTGGAGTCAACTTAGCCAGCTATGGCACCTATTAGCTTTATAAATTTAGGCATGTGACTTAATCTCAGTTTCCTGTTCTGTAAGATGGGGATAATCTCTGAAAAGTAATGCCTCATAATTGTGAGGATTAAATAAAACAGTGAAGACAAAGCATTAGTCTGGTTCCTGGCACTTAACTCACACTCAATAAATGGTTGTAACTTTAGTTTTTCTCACTTAGCAAGGCACTGTTATGCCAGTGCCCTGCTTAACCCTTGAATCCTTGAGAATCCTTGAAAAACTTTTAAAGCTCCTCTTACTGTCCTGGGTTTTGGGTTTGGAGTGCAGAAGAAGCATAGTGCAGAAAAATCCCCTAAATGATCTATAGGATGGTCCAGAGTACAATTTGAAAAACTACCATTAATAACTAGGTAAAAGCAGGTACTGTGCTTCACATAAATATTTGATTTAAAATACAATTCATGATATTTCATGGAGTGAGTTGGAAAGGGCAGCCCGATGTGTCTGACTGATAACAGTAGTACAATAAATTTTAGTTGAGAAGATTTGAACATAAGTGCTAAGATATGGTGAAATACTTCACTAAATCTGGAAGTGTGACCTTGAGCAGAGGAAAATAACCGCAGTAGTCCCTTTGAACAATAATTTTAAATGAACTTCTGGACCAGTTGGCAAAACCTCAAAAGCTTCAGGCTCTGTCGGCAGTGGCTGCAGTACTGAAAGGGCAGGAAGTAAAAGACTGATTTTCTTCCCTACATCCATAGTTTCATGTGGATGATTACTGTAATTATCTTTGAGTGAACAATGGGTATAAATGAGGTTAAAACTAGAAGTGACCTTAATGTTTGTTTTTACTTACCTTGGGAACCATTTCATATCCTGTTTTGATAATTGCTTAAAAAACAACAACCACTGCTCTACATGGAGTTACTTGAAATGTTTCCCACTTTAGTTTATTGTTTCTATTTAGTTTCTGTTCAATTAAAAACAGTATTTACACAAGTAAAAATTCCAGGAGTGTGTGTGTGTCTATGTGTAACAGCAAATGGTAGTGTGTAAAGAAAGGAACATGAGTCAATGAGAGCAAATGAGAAGTAACCTGATCTAGATTGGAGGATCAAGGAATATTTCCCTGAGGAGGTGATGCTTAAACTTAAAAACATGAGTTAAGTGGGCAGGTGGTGGTGAGCATTTAAGATCAGAGAAAAAAAACTTGCAAGAGCTCTAGTGCCAGAGGCAGAAGTTGAAGCAATTCTAGAAAGTAAGGCGTAAAGTCCATCCAGGTAATGTATGTAGAACTAGCAAGGGTTTGGAAAGGATCCTCTTGGGGAACTAGAATAAGAGCAAGAAATGTAAGTAGTGTTTGGGCTACCAGCAAAACAAGGGCCCCCCCAAACGTGAGTAAGATTGAGCTTTGATAACTAGAGTCTTGCAGTAAGAGCATCCAAAGCGATTATATAAATTGAGCGTATGTTAAACTGTGTCATTTAGAAGTTTTTATTTTGCATTACATAGGTGGGAGATAACAGTTCACCTAAACCGAATTTTCAGTGCTTAGGACTTCTAAAGGGCTTCAGCCTTAGGGATAATTCTGGTCAAGTCCAATTTCTTATTTTCACAATAATAAGCTGGGTCCAAAAGTATTGTGATTTATCTTAGGTTCCACAGGTGGTTAGTGACAGATCTAGGCCCAAAATTCAGAACTCCTGACTTAGCACTCCCGCCCTTTCAAGAATGAAGCAACTTCCAGAAAAGTATATCAAAGGTTAGTAGGCCAGGGCTCCAGGTAATACCTGGCGGTAGCTATTTGAGAACTAGAACGCCCTATGACAAAATGTATCCTCTAAGTTGCAAACACTCGCCGTATCGTTACCATGGTTACTGTCACTGGCAGAGCCAACGGAGAGAGCCGTACTATTGATACTGCCGGAAAAACTCCGCCCCACGACCCGTAGGCCAATGGTGTGCGCCGTAACAATGGTGTCCACAGGAAGAAGAGTTCCTGGCGCCAATGGCGTGCGTCGTATCTATGGTTCCCGCCGGAAGGACGCCTTTGCGTCCATGGCGGACGCGGTTGCTATGACGCCCGGGGCTGCGTAGGCACCTGCAGTCTTGAGCTGAGCGTCACCGAGCGGAGTTTTTCGCGACCCTCCCGGCTCCCTCCAAAATTCGCGGCCTGGTTCCTGAGGCTTCCGCCTCAGCCCCGAGCAGGAACGCACCCATTCTCCCCTCTTTTTCCGCGTTCTAGGTCTCTTCTGCTTCTCTCCCCAGTATGGCCCAAAACTGCAGGAAGAGAGCCCCTGCTGACCCCTCCTTTCCAGCCCGGGGTTGGACTGATTCTGCCTGAGGAAGGGTTCATTCGTGTTAGCTGCATCCAGCTGCCACAGGCATTTAGTATTAGACTGCCCCTCTTATTTAGAATGGGCTTAGAACACCCTCAGTAAGTTAGGTAGGAGTTCTTTTTCTTACTTTACAGGTGAGGAGACGCACCCTTGGGCAGACGACGGCGCCCGAAGGTCCAGGCCGCCACAAAGTCCACGGAGACACAGCAGCTTTCCCCTAAAAAAAAAAAAAAAAGGAGGCCCGTGGACAAAGTACAGCCGTTTTCTGCCCTTTTGGCCGATGTTCGTCATGCAGACCCTTGAATCCCGATGAAGCTTTGGAGGCCTTTTGTATCTTCAGCATCAGAGGTCATCAAGTCAGTTACTTTATCCCCAAAAAAAAAAAAAAAAAGGAGGCCCGTGGACAAAGTACAGCCGTTTTCTGCCCTTTTGGCCGATGTTCGTCATGCAGACCCTTGAATCCCGATGAAGCTTTGGAGGCCTTTTGTATCTTCAGCATCAGAGGTCATCAAGTCAGTTACTTTATGCCTTTCAAGCTACAACCTCATTCACTTCTGTCATCACTCCGAGCACGAGTTTTCTCATCCTGCTCATTCCACAGCCATTTTCACCCTTCCCTGTCTACGCTGCGCTTTGGTGAATGTCCATTTGTCTCCACCACCTTTGTCATCTGTAGGCCACCTCCTTCTGCTATCCTGCTGCAGTGCTTTGCGTAGCTATTTTATATTCTCCAGCCCTGCAATCGTTGGGAAGACTTTCTCTGTTTTTCTGCTTTCTCTGTTGGATAAACTAAAGACTAGAATGGAGATGTGCACATTGGTAAATACAACCATTAAATTACTGCAAGCCTAGTGTGTTTTGCAAATGGAGGGGGAGAAAATTGTAGTTTGGGGCCTCTTTCAGGCTTATATGAAGAAAGAAGGTTGTTCCTTGTTTAAGTAAGCGAATACTGTGTTAGGCAAAATTTTAGCGATGTGTTCATACATGTGAAAAGATCATTCGAAATGATCATGTAACAGAGGATTTCACCTTTAAGTCTTATGAACCCAACACCTGTGGATATGATAGAATTTTCTGGAGAAGGGATACTTGAAGTAGCTCTTGTGCCTCCTTTTCGTGTCAATTTCTGAATCAGAAAACATTTTTTGTATATGAGCAAAGAAACAAAAACAATAAAGAGGAGTAATTGAAAATAAATCTTTTTTGGCGAGGAAGCAGGCTAAATAGTCCTAGAAGGACAGGAAGAGAGGGCCTTAAATATAGAATAAGATTAATTTAGATCTAGTGCAATTTTACTGTAGCTTGGAAAGCTTGGTTTAATTTGTCTTACTGTATGTGTTCCTTGTTGAGTCTTACTATTTCATCTTCGGTATTCAGGTTTAAATCTAACCTATTTTGAGGATATACAAAGTGTACATTTTTTTTTTTTGTCTTTTCCGTGTCCAGCAACGGATCGCAACCCTCAGTGTCGCCCCCGTACCGGACCGGGACCGGCAACGGGATCGCAACCCTTGGTGTTGCCCCCACGCCTCGCTCAGCCAGTGAGCGGGAACCGGTCTGTATGTGGGATCCGAACCCTCGGCGGGAGCGCCTCCGCGCTTCCCAAGCGGCGCACTAGCGCAGTGCGCCACCGGGCAGGCCCAAAGTGTACATTTTTAACAGGTAATTTGGGAGCTATAATAATTTGGATATTTTGATCTCTTAAGCCAGTTGAAGCAGTTATTTGTGATGTCTCATGCTTAGAGCCAGGTCACATTTTCAAATACTGAGAAATTCAGCTTTCTATTCTATAACAAATTGAAAAAGAAAAACAAGTTCTGCAGCGTTTTCAATTTTTCACATTAAATGGGAACTGAATAAATTCTAACTCTTGAAAAATCAGGCTGTTACATGCTATATTGTAAGGGGCTTTCCTTTCCTCTTCCAATATGTATTTGTTGAACAAACATCATTATAGCAAGGTTAACATAAATTTTAAAAAATTTTTTTTCCTCTCACCCTAGCAGTTCTAAACCTGGGGGGGTGATTTTGGCCACTGCAAGACATTTGGCAACATATGGAAACATTTTTAGTTGTCACAACTGGGGATGTGCAAGCAGCATCTAGTTTTTAGAGGCCAGGGATACTGTCATACATCCTACTTTGCACAGAACAGCCCCTACAACAAAGAATTATCTAGCCCAAAGTATCAGTAGTGCCAAGGCTGAGAAACTCTGTCCTATCAACAGCTCATTTTTCTGTTCTGTGTCAGCCCTTCCTCACATGTGTACATTTTTACATAGTGATAGTGTACATTTTGCCTTTTCCTTGTAATTTATGTTTTAAACATTTTCCATATTGCTGTATTGTTTTCAACTTTTAAAAAAAGTGTATGTCTCATTTTATTTGGGAATTGAAAAAGAAGAAACTGTGTATAATATTTATTGTTTAATATGTTTGTAAGTTTTAAATTATATTTAAAGGAAGGAGGAAAGAAGGGTTAGGATGAAAAGTCACCTGAGTGGATATTTCAGTTTTTGTGGCCATGCTATTTGCTTTGTTTCCTAGTGTGACTCAAAGACTATGGGAGTCAGGAGATGTGCTGTAGCATGAGGTGTGGTCATGGCCTCTATACTGTAGTTGGAGGGCACCTGCTTTTAGAAAAAAGAACAGGTAGAAATGAGCACCCATTCTCCTTTCCCTCTTCTCATTTAAAATTCTTTGTCTCTGTTTCAGTTTGCTTCGGTAGCTTTACCACCTCATTCTTTAGAGAAATTTAGAAATTTTTGGAGGCCTAAACACACTACAGGATGTGCTTCTTCCCAGGGAGTGGATTTTTAAGACTTAGTGAGCATTTATTAAGTATCAACTTTGGAGAGAATAGTATTCTTGAATACTTTGTTGTGTGGGCAGTTTTAGGTACAATTTAGATATCAGAGCATTTGTAATTTAAATAATAGATTTATATTACTTCAAGATCTGCTATGTTAGAATTTTCAAGTTACTCAGCAATCAGGTCTCAATAAATAAATCCTCTGGAAAAATGATTGTTCTGGGATACACCATTGTAGGCAGAGGGATCTGAATGTCCTGGAAATATAAGCAACATGATGGGGATCAATAAGTATAGTGGTATGGAAAGCTGATGTCAAAAAGTGGTAAAACATAAGGCTAGAGAGACGGGAAGAAGCCAGATTGTGTAGAATCTCTGGTGGCCAGCTAAGGGGTTTGAACTCTGCCTGAAAGCAATGAGAGTGATAAGCAGCAGGTGATTTGCATTCAGAAGGATCAGTCTGGGAGCTTTGCAGAGCACAGATTGGATGGGGGGCCCAGCCTGGCTTCAGGAACATCAGTTAAGGATGCTAGTACACTAAACTGAGCAAATAGTGTGGAGAGTCTAAACTCAGGCAGCAACTGTAGACATGGAGAGGATGAATTAGAAAATTATAAAAGAGGTAGAATCTACAAATTCAGGGACTGGTTGTATATGAGAGTAAGATGGATAAGAAGGAAGGTTTCTGGGACATGCATTGGTCTTAAATAGTGGACTCATGTTATATTGCCCTCTTAGCCTATATCTTCTTCTCTGGGACTTGCATCTCTCTGCCAATCCATGCTTAAAGAGTAG